GCATTTGGGTATCGCCAACAGGAATCAGGCGACGAAGATCCCTAAATGCTTCGCTTCACTGAGTAATCTTCCGTCAAGGTCAGGCGCGATGTTCTTGCTTATTGCACATCAGCCTCTTGACACCTTCATTACGAATCCCTACTGACCCTATTCTTGCATCTGAATTAGGATTAAGAATGAGATGTAAATAATCCGACGTCATAATATCGACCAAGTTTGTACATTCATATCATTGTTCTGATCGGTATTTATATTTGTCATTCTTAATCTGTTCATTGTCTGATGTTACCAATCAGAGTAGTGGTATGAATGTGTAAGCTTGGTCTTTGTTATGACGTCGAATTTCTTGGGTTGTGATCAATCGAGATGCGCAAAGGATATTGGTTTCATTTAAATTCCTGATATCATCAATGAAGCATCATCCGAATCTTCCAAAGTACCCTCGGCGCTTTGTCCTCGCCTTCAGTTTTGATAACTGCATGATGAAAAGGTTTACCCACGTATTCTTCGTATGTAATTACTAATGCTAGTCCCAGATCTTTCTTTCCTGGTTGGACAATTCAGCGTCCCTTTTCTATACAAACTGCCTTTAAAAGCATAAAGATACATGTCAGTCCCTGGTTAGTCGAAAATTTTAAGGTTCATGCAGATCTGCGCTGCTGCTGTACGGCTCATGAGTGTATATGGTTTCTTGGCCTTCAATCGACATTTTCATCGCTTTGCACTAAACAAGGCTTGTAAACTGCATGGCCGATGCTAGTGATAGCTGATATACCTAAATTGATGCCTTGGCTTTGCAGTAGACATTAATGACAGCTGCACAAGAGGACATTTTCCTCGCGGTGAGCAGTTTGGCCTTTGACAAACGTTGGCAGTAATCACTTCGGTCTTCCGCGCGACCGCAGTTTGTGAACGGTTCCTGCTATATCAGTGCTACAGCAGTTTGAGAATTGCTGCTGTATCGAAGGAAGATCACGTGATTGTCGAGGAAATGGTTGGTCTCGATTCTGAATGCTGTAAAGAATCGGCATTTTTGCAATCCAGTCTTGTTACCAGTAGTTTGTTAAGCCAGTCGATGGTTGGGCAGCGAGAGGAAAGTGACAGATTTATGTTACCAGTAATCCAAAGTGATAATTCGCCTATGCCGGTATGGACTGAAACTAATATTCTTTGCAGTCCAGACCGGTATTATTTGGTTGTCTTCTTCTAATTCTCAGCGTACCACGGTGTACACTCACACTGCAGGAGACAGTATTGAGGCTTAATTACTTAATTACTTACTTAATTGAGTTGGTTTAGTAGTAACTCAGTAAAACTGCTTTATTACTGGCTTGGATTAAACAACAAATTAGTTTCAATCCATACCGATATGGACAATAACTTGTACATTTATGTGACTGAACCGTTGTCGTCTTAAAGCGTCGCTGGGTAAATTCATCAACACTGTAGAGGGTAGTTAAGCAAAGAGATTGCTTGACTTCGGCTTTACCCATTTTAGCCTCTCTCCGTCCTTGAGCGGGTTATCGGTGTCGCGGTTGGTACTCGAAGTTTTGCGTGCTGTTCACCTTAGATTATCAGACTTACCTGATGACATTGCCGCTACGGCTTCTGTCTTTGTCTTTTCTGCCGTCAGCTATCGACAAACTGTGGGCTCTCCACATGAACGCACATCAAGGGGCAGTTGTTCGGCATCAAGTGGTGTGATTTGATTGGTTATGAGGAGATGCCTCAGCAAAATATTTTTTATGCTATCATCAGGGTCGTACAGTTCATACTCTGCCGAACATTCAAGATGTTTAACAGAGTTACTCTCACGTTCATTCTCTGCTGTTCGTAATTTGTACCAGGATTGCCGAAAGACGCAAGTCAGTTGCGACTCCAATCAACACAGCGGAAGTGCTCGCCTACGCCGTCACTCCAGGACATGGTTCTGGTCGGCACAGCTGACCACACTGTGATACATTCCTAATCATGTGTTCATTCTCTACGAATGCCATCGGTTATCCGTCGCTGCCTGTCGTGCGCGTGTGCGTTTCTATCTGGCTGCTGGTTGACTTACGTCTGATGCGTTTCCTAACTTGCCTGCTGTCTGCTCTTCGTTGTTTGCTGCTGGATAGTCGTTGTTAAGTCAGTCTTCGAGTCAAGGCCTCGTCTTTGCGTGTGCCAAGCCGCTGGCTTCGTGCCGTCTCCAACACTGCACTGTGTCTTGGTTCCATGGTGTTGCGCAACAGCTGTCGTGCTGCTGCTGCCGCCACTGCGGCCACCGCCATTGACCTCATCGTCGTTAATGTCAGCCATTGCGCGACTCGATCGCGGACGTGAGGACGTACCGCCGATTGCAGCATGACTGAAGCTTGACTGACTGATTGGTGCGTTGGCGCGTGCATACTTTGCCACCCTAGATCAGATTAATTCATGTCCGGTGGATCAAGGATTATGCGCGATTTGCTTCTTTTCATTGGCTGGTGCCTGTGTTGCACTGCCGATCACCAGTGCGGCTAAGAACGATAATCACTCTGAATATTCGAATATCAGTCGACTGCTGCTGTAGCCTCTGACTTACTTCTTGCGGCCGAATGGTGGCCCTGCTTTATGCGGATTTGGTTGAATTTGTACCTAACCGGATCAGACATCCTATACTTTGGACACGCCCCTCGTGTCATCAGTGCGTTATTTTCGAGGTCGCTGTTGTACGCAGTGTACAATGCATGCCATATAATAGTCTAACTCTTCAGAGACGGATTTGACGGCGTACTGCAGCACCCCATACTCGTAAATACTGAGGCGATTAAGTCATTCGCTAGGCCATGGTCCCATGGTATTTGAGCGGCTGCGGTGCTTCGTTGGATCTCGCAACATTTTGTTTGTTGAAGTGATGTTTTGCTTTTTAGCTCTATAGTACAGTTGTACATCCAGATATGCTTAGCGCTTGCGTAGAGTCGGTTTCCGAAAGACGGTTTGTAAGTGCACGCAAAGAATATGAAGTTGGTTGCATTTCTGACGTATCGGCCACGTTCTATAAGTGCATAAAATGTTACGGGTGACTTTTGTCAGATAAATGTTAATTTCAGTTTTCGTAGGTGAACATCGGGATAAAAATCTACTTGAACACCGTGAGCTTATTTTTCAGACTAAGCTCTGCCTTAATCACAGTGGTTCGGGCTACTAGTTCACGCAGAACGCCACTGGCTATTCCAAGTCGCCGGTCGATCTTTTCCTCAAATTTTCCATCGCCAGTAAAGACGACCCTGGGCCAGTTGAACTTGGCTGTTCCAATGCTTCTCAGTTTATCTGGAACGCAACGGGCAGGAGAACGAGAGAGCACTAGGATTTTCGTTTTAGAGGCGTTCACACACATGCCTGTAGTGTTGCACTTTGCTCACTTTTCAGGAGAAAGCTGGAGATCAGTTTCAAAAGATGCCAGCAATACGAGGTCGTCTGCAAACAGCAACGTTCTCGTCTTCACATCTCCTATACCGATACACTCATGGCGTTGGCAGCTCTTCGCCATTCTGTCAATGTATAGCACAAACAGGAGAAGGGACAGGACGCATTCTTGGCAGAGACCAGTGCCAACGTTGAAGGGTTTCGACCTAGCGCCATTTACTCTGCTGAAACACCTGCTATCTGCGTATAATGATTGGACCACCCGTCGCAACTGACTATCGAATATAGTTGTTCGCAGGCACGCTCATATATTGTTGCGGGGTAACCAGTCATAGGCTTTCTCTAAATCAACAAAGCACACGTATACCGGATGGGCGAACTCCCACGATTTCTCAACAGCCTGGCATAGGGCGAATATCTGGTTACATGTGCTTCGGCTAGCGACGAAGCCACACTGCTCTTCATGTATTCTGGAGTCACTTATTTCGCGGTCGCTCCTTTCCATCGCCTATGCGTAGACTACCTCGGAGGCTCAATAAGCTAATGCCCCATTGAGTGGAGCACCCCCAGTGGTCTCTCTTCTTAAACAGGATGACCATTCCAGTTCGCTGATATCTTTCCAGTTACAGTTTGACAGACACGTTTAGGCCAGAACATGCATTGTTAACCTATAGCTTCAAGCATTTCGGGGTGGATTTCATCAGTTCCAGCAGCCTTTCCACTTTTCAAGCTTTTCACAGCTTGTGATTTCATCTACAGGAAGACTAATGTACGTTGCCTGAATGCTCTTTAGGTGAATCTTCTTGTGACTGATCCAGGATAGGTTTTTTATAGTACCCTCGCCACTTTTACGAAGTATTTCTTTTGTCTGGGTAAGAATGTGTCCGAGCTTATCCTTATGGACTCTCAGACTGCTCTTCTTTCTACATCGGAGGATGCAGAAGGTGTACCAAAATAAGTTGTTTTCCGTATGGAAATTCCACCCAGCACCACATCGAACTTTTTCCCATCGAATTAACTTCGGCCTTCGCCACTGATTTCGCCTCCGCCTCTCTCTGTTGACACTTTTGAGTTTAAGGTTGCTATCCTTCTAGCCACATTTTGAACGCATCCTTCTTGTTGGCGGTCCGTTAAACCTGTTGTTTCCACCCAGAGGGCGTTTCTGACCCTCAGGCGGTAGGCCAACCTGTTTTATAAACCTCAGTATCCGGTGGCATCCCTGAGTAGTTCGCTCTTAAAGATCTTCCATTTAGTTTCCAGATCAGCCACCATCACCAGGATATGTAAACCGTCGTACGATGTTGTTTGTAAATTTTGCCTTCGTATTATCTGCAGGTAATAATTTTTCCCATATGATTCTCTGGTTGTTTCTGTCACTGGGTTTTCGCATAGTCCTTTGTCTCACACTGCGTAGCGTGCCAACAACAGGGTGGTGATTGGTTGGTAGCTGTGCGGCTCTCTTAACACGAACATCCATTATAGAGCGTCGTAAGTCAGACTGTACGATTATATAATCGATCATCGTGTTCTGTGCATCAGCAACCCTGTACCAGGTATCCCGATGCACGCTTCGATGCTCGAGGAAGGTGTTCGTAATGGACAATCCGTTGTTTGCACAAAACTGCAACAACTTCATGGTCGTTAGGACCGTTTCTTCCAGTCACGCCGTTCCGTTTTCCAGCGTCTACTGCTACATGTGCATTAAAATTGGCCATTAGAATGAGGGACTCCGCAATCGACGCTTCGCTTCCACGTGGAATGACTCATATTCTCTCTCTAAATTGGACACACACCTGTAAAAGGTTAACACTAGCCTGTTGTAGCTTCAGATGGAGAATTGCCACTCTTCTGCTGACAGGCTTCCGTTCAATGATTTTATCAGTCAGGTTGGGTGTTACCAGAAGACAACACCTTCCTGAACGCGCGTCGTGATGCCAACCTTGAGTTGAATTGCTTCAATCCACAGAGGTTCAGGATTCCAGAGCCTTGGCGCTTCGCTGACGAGAATCCAGCGATGGCGATTTGGTTCTTTGCGGCCTCATCACAACTGGCTCCTGCTTTTTCCCTCTGAGGAGATATTCCAGTTTTTGATTATAAGCTCCCACTGTCTGTATCTTTTTGCATGTTGCCTTATCTGACGTGCTATATTGATACTGCGTTATCTGCCCCTTTCATTCAGAAGGGATAGTGGCTACATTGCTGATTTGTATCTTCGTTGTTGTTTTGTCGAACTTCGTCAGCCGTCGCTGTGCTTTTACGTCGCCAACTGCGAGAATTTGGAAGCAGGTTCTGCTTGCCGACTTTTCGCAGTCTTCAGTTCCACAACAGCCTGCGTGGCCCTGGGTAAACCGAGCGACGACGGATCGGATATAGCGTTCGATAAGAGCAATAGCATGATGATCAGGTGACTGTTTTACAAGCTACGTCGCCACGGTCGCCAGCCCTGCTTTTTTCTTATACGGACTTGGGACCTGCACTGACGAAGTTATTGAAATTTCGTTGTACTTGAATTGTTTGCGCTTACACCCTTACGGAAAGTGAAATACTGCTGGACATGTGTCGAAACCAAATAAAGTTAATGTCCGTTACTTAAACGTGCGGCGGCTGCACTGAATATTATCTATTTAACATGTTGCCTGCTTCCCTGAGATGTCATGCTATTACAGTTTCTGCTTCGGTTTTAGCCTGAGCATTCCTCGCACCCTTATTATTCTATTATAGCAGTAAATGAAGCAGATCTATCGAAATGTAGTAATGGCTGATTTCGCTTTTACCCGTAATTGGTTCTAGAAATTTCGTCCAGTAAATACGCCTATCAGTGTCATTTGTGCTACGTACTATTTATGAAAATAGTATTTATCGGTAATACTGTGTTTCGAATGGATATCGCGTTTTTTTTGCAAAGAACCCTACTTGAGACGCCGTTCTGATGTGTTATCAAGTTGAGCCTTTTCCTTACACATGACTGATCGTGAATAAACTCCCTACATGTCTGACGCTTTCGAACAGAATCGAAGCTCGCGCTCGCGAGCAGTTCGTAGTTCAGTTCGTACGATGACACGCGGTAGCGATTTATTAGACTCTCGTAGAAGCATGACGTACTTTGTTCCGGTTTGGCGGTTATTACGGCTCTCTGGTTGTCCCGCTTGCTTTATTATAGAACTTGAACTAGGCTAAGTGGTTTATTCAACATGCGCACAAGGAGATCCGTCGCGCCTTTTGCAGTAACCAATGTGAAGGCTCGGATCTTCAAGGAGGGACGCTGCACCACCATGCGACATGTGGCTACTGACGCTTAGACGCTGAAACAGCTCTTCGATTTACTGAACAATAAAGTACTTTTTCGCCTCATTCATTTTCCACTTGTCGCAAGAGGCTACGTCGTGCGCCGAATGTCCTTCCAGCGATCAGCCGTCGACTGACTCGTCGACAAAATTGCTTACGATGCTCGCAGAGCCATTCTGCTGCTACCTCATTTTCTCCCTTCGTCTGCTTCGCTGCGTCAAACACCTATCGATCGAGTGGCATCGTGCTGCATCGCCCTTCGATCACATTACGTCCATGTCTGAGTGCTGTTTTTGGACTCGTTTTTAGGCCGACTCCTTTCGTAATCTTTCTTGCTTCTCGCTCTCGTTTCAGACTTCGACTTTAATGCAGATGGCTATATTTCTGTGCGTCTGAAGCCACCGTTGAAGTGCCGGGTGATATTGATTGATTTTGTTTTCCGGTCCTCGGATGACCCGGTTGTCATTTTGGACAGATTTACATGGACTTTCCATAGAGCAGAGCTGTATTTTGAGTGTCGGCTAGGCGGGGGTTTTCATAGTTGCTCCTCTTTCTCGGCGTACCGCGATTTGTCGTCAGCGTCAAGTCACGGTCGGTTCAAGTTACCAAGTATTCTAGATTTAACAGTGACCATAACCCTCGTAAGATTATTCCTCGTTTTAGCAGCATGGAG